GCAGGAGAACGCGCAGGGGGTCGGGGGGGGGGGGGGGTCCACAGGGGCAACAATTACCTCCTGTCTGACAGTAACCTCCCCAGGTGGAACTAAATTGTCCAGAGCAGTGGGGTTAGACCCTTTCTTATTCACTTGAACTTTGGATTTCAAATTAGGGTGGAGCTAGTGACATTTATCAAGGATATACGCAAGCATCTTACAGTGGGTACAATCTGGAGGTCTGTGTTCCATGACGATTTGTTGCCAATATCCATTATGAGTTGTGCCCAGCCAGACTTCAGTAACATCAGGTAAAATAATATCCCTTTCCACAAGTATTATGACCACAAAAGGTCTGGTTAGATTGAAAGTGGGTAGATCTAGCCTAATAGGGTCTCCAAGAATGACCCCAATAGAGTAGAGAACCTGATGATGAAAAAAGTGCAGCTTGAGACCAGGTAGACTAAACTGTATCGGTGCAGTGGGAGTTTAATGATTTGGGTCGAAATCAGAAGACCACTTGAGTAATTTCATTGACTTGTCTGCAATATTAAGATATTTCTTAGAAAAAATACAAGTGTAGTCTTCAGTCACGGTTAGTTGAATCAACATATGTCTCTCATCCATGAGTCCCACTTTCAAATTATTTACTAGTTTGAGATCATCAACACTCTTTCTGATAATTCCATAGGTGGGTGCCCCCATTTAAATTTTTCAATAAGAACAAACTTGAATTTCTCAGTAAGGGTTGAAATTTCTAAGTCAGAGAAAAAAAGAGTTGTTTTCCCACCTTTCCTACTTTCCTTCTTAACAAAAGAGCAATCACGTATACCATCACGACAATCCTTATATCTTAAAGGGAAAACAACTATCGACTATACTTGAGGATTACCCACCACGTGGGCAAAGGAGATTTTGTCAGATTCAACTAAATAAGAATGGAACGCCATAAAAGAAGGGAGATCCACCTGCTGGAAGATCCCGATATAATAGTTGTCGGCGTCTCTTGCTGCGAAGTCCCGAAAAATAACGACACGCAGATATGAACCGAAGTTGTCGGGCAGGGAGAGGCGAACGTCAGCGTCGAAACAGAAGAACGACGCAGACATGCGAAGCTGTAGGCGTCGAAATCGAGCGAGACGCAATAGACGCGAGTTGTAGGCGTCGAAGAGACGCAGTAACATCGGGACGAAGCAAAGGATGATGAGCAAGAGCCGACAAAACAAAAGTGATGTGCGAGCCATCTCCTTCGAGTGACAGAATCAAATGCGACGGAAATTGCCTTTAGAAACCCTAGCAGAGCTCTCGATGGCAGCCGACATCGTGATATATATATATATATATATATATATAGTTTTATTTTATTTAATAATTTATTTAATTTAATTTATTTTATTTTTATGTATATCGTGATTAAATAAGCTAAGTAATCAATAAGGTGTAAATAAGATCTAGAGAGTAACAACGTAAATTTAGTTTTATGTTGAAAGCATTGTCTACGACCTGATATCAGGTTTATAAGGATTGATAGAGGAGGAATTGAAGAAAGCCCTGAAGGGATATTAGGATTTAGTACAAGATCCAAATTGTTATAAGATGGATAATTGCAATTCTGTTTCAGAACAACATTCCCATCTTCAAAAATTTATTGCATATGTAAATTATATATACAAGCTTTTTACATAGAATGTTTTGTGTATAATATGTTATGTTCTCTCCCAAATATTTTAATATTCTCTATATAGCTATTAATCACATATGCCATGTAGCATTGTTCTGAAATCTCAAACTAACATCAATAAATATGATCAAATCTATAGTTCATGCCAATGATTTCATTAATTATGCCATTTCTATGATTATGATTCCATTGGTTACGCTATTGCAATGATTATGATTTCAAACAACTCATACACCTTAGGGTTTACTTGAAAATAAAAATGTGAATAATTTGAGGGCGACCATACTACTCTAACCAAGATCTTCTAATTAGGCATTTAGACGACAAGTACAATACCGATAGAACCGGTGACAGTGTAGAATTATAATCAATATAGAAGCTGGCGTAGCTTAGAGGGCTTATTTAACTAATGTATGCCATTGTTGTTATAAGCCAGGAAATTGAGTGAGAAGCAGCTTTAACTCTACTCAAAAGAAATGTGCTATAGACAAAAACACAGGGAGCACCGCTGTAAAGAAGTTTTCATGAAGGATCTGCTAGCATAAAGTTTGGTTATGTGCTAGATGTATTTTTTTTGGTCTATGGGTACACATCTGAGTTTATGCAAATGGCCATTTCATGTTTAATAAATATTTATGGTTTGATGCCTCTTTTGTAAGATTTGAAAACTTATTCAAAAGAAGGTAGAATCTAAATTGTTATGAAAGATCTTTAGGACATATACCAGAATAAAAAATTTCATAGTAGACATCCGTTTTTGCATGGTTCATCCAGGCTCCCGAGCAATAATTAAAAAAAACATAAATGATTTCAAATATAACCATAAAGCCATAGATGCTTTGAAGTCACACATACAAGCTAACATAGAATCAAAAGGAATCTATGGGCCCATAAAAATAACATAACCTTACAAAAACAAATGATACATATCGGTTTCATCAATAAAAGCTGGCTGCCTAGAGGAATAACAAAACATGCAAAATTCCAAAGTTCAAGAAATCAACCATGTCTCCCATCTCAACCATTTTCAATCGTTAGAGCTATCTGTATTGACATTAAATCTTGAGTTAAGAAAAGAGAGCAATTTATAAGTAATGCAAAATCACACAAAATCACAAACTATTTTCACTAATTCGCATTTAATCCCGAAGTCAAGGAAGAGAGAAAGCTAACTTACAAGTCACTCAAAAAACACTTTCCTAGGGGTTGTTGACTATCCATACCTTATCCCTAGTCAGCAAATCTAAGAGCATAAAACCTGGTCAAGTATAAGTTTCACAATGTAAACCCATATCCAAGACATTGCTTTCTAATTAGAAGAAGTGCATAACAATTTTATTTTATAGATGGAAATAAATGATTAGAATGAAAGGCGTTTTCCATTTGTTGAACTTGTCCCCGTTAATAGATGCACAGTAAATACAAAATTCTATATTTTCATCAAGAATTTGATAAAGATGCAGATAAATACACTGAGATTATATATTGCATGAACCACACCTGGCCAAGACTGGCTGCAGCTATAGGTTGATCTTCAAATTTCTTGAATAATGCATTAACTGGCAAACCCAACTCATTTTCTATGAACGCTCTCGCTTTTTCAGGTGAGAATGCCGGCACCCTATCCTGGATAATAAAAGCAAAAACCAAAATAGGAAATTGCAAGATATTCTTTAGAGGTAATAGATCATAAAACTTGTCATGTAATGATGGAAGTGCACAGAGGGAATTACAGAAAGAAAAGAAAACATTAAAATTTATCCAAAATTATTAACCAGTTAGAGTAAATAAGCATGATGGACATCTTAAATCTTTGTTAAGTCTACCCATACTTCAATCCAAATCAAAATTATAAATCTGCGCAACTTTTAAGCAAGTTAATTCAAAATCTTTCATTGAATAACAATTTAATGCAAGTCGAACATGGACACTGTTAGAAAGGATATAGAATAAAATACCTGCAACTTGGCAAGCTCATCAACAAACTCTTTAGGGAACAAATCAGACCTTGTTGAGGATAACTGGCCTAGCTTGATAAAAGTTGGTCCTAGTTGCAAAACTCTCTCTCTGCACCATGAAGCTGTTTTTTGGCGCCTTTTTGTCTGCATAAAGAAAAATGTTGATCAAAGCCCTACTAATTAAAAACAGACAAGAAACATGGCAAACCAAATCTAGAAAGAAAAGCCAAATTAATGATCAATCCTAGGTCAACTGTAAAATCATCAATTGGTCATTTAGTAACTAAATCAAATCCAGATGGCATAAATGACAACCAATAAAGCATGAAGATACAAAAAATTGGAACCAACAAATAATTCCTTGAAGAAGATAAGTCTAGACATTGAATTAAAAAATTTAGTAAAGAGTAATTGCTTCCCAACACCATATTGACTGTATTAAAAAATAAAAAAAAAATTGAATGGTTTTAGACTGCCAATGAGTGACGCATTAACAATATCTTTATGTCCATTAATGGTGTTCAACTTATTGATTATAAGTTTCTCAATTATACAGCAACTAATATGCAACTTAAATAATTCAAAAATATTCATCATTTCTTGGGTAAAGCTTATGATTTTAAGACTAAATTCTCAAAGTATTCCCTTTCCTATTGTTGGAGAAACTCAGATCAAGCTAACCATATTGCCAATATTTTGGGTTGTGCTGCGAAATAGTTACCCCTCAAGTATCTTGGTACTCTATTTGGTTCCAAAGCCCTCTAGAAACCTTTAGAATCCAAATATTGAAATGATCCAAAACAAAGTTTCAAGTTGGAAGGGGAGAATACTTTCTAGAGGAATAGTGTCTCTCATCAACTTCTACTCCACTATACTATTTCTCTTACTTTTAAATTCCTTCCCGAGTTATTAGATAAATCGACTCATTGGTAAAAAAATTTTCTAAAAGAGTATTATTGATGATAGTGGGATTCAACTTTTAAGTTGAAGCAAAATTTGCAAACAAAGGAATTTAGAGAGTCTCGGTGTGCTGAATTTGAGATATTGTAACATCTCCCGGCTTACCAAAGGACTATAAATTCTAATAACTCTTCTACTTACAAAATTCTTAAAGGGAAATCTTTCAAGGCTAAGGACTTAGGAGATTTTGGATGAAATACTTGAATTATTCATTAAATCTCTATTTTGAACATTTCTTGGGAAGTCATTTAGAAATTGAACAGATGAATGGCTTCTAGAAATCTTTATTAGTCCATAACACAAAGCCTACATCAATTTGCTCCAACGTATGCTTGGGTAAATATTTCCCCAAAAAAATCGAGCAAATATTTATTGTTCAACTTAAATTTGGTTACCTCTAATCTGTGCTACATTTGTGATCTTCGTTATGAAATAGTTTCTTATGTCTTCATCAATTTCACTTTTATTCATATTATTTGGGCTAAATTTTCAACATCAACATAATGGCAAATTGAATTGCTTCCATGTTCACTTCTTATAAGATAACTTCCTTCATGTTTCCATCAAAATAACATAAGATAACTTTTTTTTGCTTTCAACATTTATAGACAATTTGAAATGAGAGGAAATTGATAGTATTTATAAAAAAAAAGAGATACTGAGAAGGTTGACATCTCATAGCTTACTTCTGAATCTATTCTTACAACAACAAAAAAAAAGAAACCAATAAAAAAATAAGAAGTTAAACCAAAGCTTATCGAATAAACCTAACAGATTTTTTATCATCTGTATATAGATTATTTTCCCCTCTTCTGCAATCAATGTTTAATGTATTTTTCAAAACAAGTAATCTCCGCTTGTAACCTTCTTCATTACATTTATTGATGAAATGATTTATTGTAAGCTTTTTCATAAAAAAAGCATTATAAAAACTTCATTGTGGCATAGACACAAATTTAGCCGGTAGAATTTTAAAGCAAATGAGGGATGATCAACCAAGAAAGCCAATAGAGTCAATTCCATGAAAAACTGGTTCTTCAAACAAAGAAAACCCGGGGAAAAATGTGTAGACAACCGATTCAAGTTATTTAGGTTCCATGGGCTCAAAACTCCAATGTCCACTACAAGCCAACGACACTTAAAAGTTAAATTCAAGCCTCAATCAAAAGACATACACATTATTAGGTCAGCGACATTATAGGATGCAACCTTGTTGAAGGGTGAAAAGCAGTAAAAAATCAAAAAAGAGTCCAAGGGCGCCAGCCACCTCATCCTTAACATCGTGATAGGCAACCCTAAAAAATTTCCCTTTGTTTTATCTCATCCTTATCGTAATCTTTCCCTTTATAAGGCTAAGAGACACCTAAATTTAACATTTATACCTAAAATTTAGATCTATATCCCACTCTCTCTTCCTTAACCTAGCTTGCTCAAAACATAGGCTTTCCATATTTATTTCCCCACATGCTTGAATAGGGATTTCCGTTAAACTAAATAATCGCTAAGTTAGGCTGGCAATGATAAAAATGACAGAAATATCACCAAACCCATCCTTCCAATTATTTATTACAAATAATTTAATTAATTGAAGCAGAATCAGAACTATAAACCCTATGTACATAGAATTAAATGAATAAAAATAAATGTAAATGACAAATGGGTAGATCTATTGCTTCAATGAAATTATTCAAAGTTTGTCTCATCAAAATCTGGAAAATGCATCTACCAAAAAAACTTCAAAAAAATATATCAAAAAACCACTTGATTCAAGTGAAAATAAATAAATAAATAAATATGAAAAGGCATGTAACTTCACCTGTTTATCTTCTGTAAATCCACCAAAATATGACCATTTTGCATTATCAAACAGAGCCCGAATTTGTAAAGAAAGAATAAATGACCAAATATCAACACTCCTATGCCAAGCATTATAGTTTTCATTGGCCCAGCTGAATCCTTCATCTGAAAGCAAGACTTTTGGTCCGTCTACAAAGGAGAAATCATCAGGAACTACCTTTTGCAGTGTATTGACATTATTTAACATTTCAACCCTTTTAACCAATCCAACACCATTCTCAACTCTTTTAAAGCCATTCACAACTGTGCTGGGACTGGCTATTCCATTAACTGATTCAATTTTCTGAATGATAGTAGATTCAGATTTCATTAATTCCTTCGTTGACACCATTTTGCTCACCCGTCCATTCGTGACAGGCTTACCAGCCTCTTGCTGCGCCATAAAAACGTTGGTCATATGTAGAAACTTAGATGATGGAGCATATCTCTTTAATGGATGAAAATTGGAAATGGAACAAGAGAAACTCAAATCATGTGACATCCAACTGTGTCTTGAAGTGCCCAAGTGACTACAGTAGAAGCCATGAGAGACCAAAACCATAGTCATCCAACAATAGATGCTGAATAAAAAACCAGACAGATTTTAGTCAATTATCAAAGGAAGGAGGCATTTATATACTAGAAAGGGAAACATTATATTAGATCATCCTAGCCTCCTAGAAACCCAAAAACTCATAATCATACAACACTTGTAAGGACATTTGCAAATCAAAAAGGCTCCTAAAGCATAAACTCCTGTTAAACATCTAAGAAAATGGCATGTTCACTACTACATAACTTTCAATTTTACAATCAGAGAAGACATACACAGTTGTGAAAATATTTCCAACGTCTTCCACTAGCTCTAGCCAATCCAATAAACAAAAAAAAAAAAAAACCGGGTTATGTCACACAAACAGAAACCCACCTACAAGTCAAACTTCCAAAACCAACCTAACGTAAGAAGCATCATAACTCGCATCTGCGACGCAAACGCTAATAAGCAATAATAATGCGACCGGGAACGTACCAGTTTGTTTGTTACCTTTAAGAAAGAAAGTCTTGGTGGAAGCGGGGCCACGGCGATCGAGCGCCATGCATCACACCCGAAGACAATGAATAAAACCAATGACCGGCATTGAAAGAGACACGAAAGAGCGAAAAAGAGGCGTGAGAAGGTCGGTAAACGAAGATTCTAAAAAGTGTTGCAAACGGAGACGATTGGGATTCCATGATAGCGGCCTTTTGCTGCGCGCCGTGACGTGCTCCACGAGATCTGAAGGTCGCTTCTCGCAGCAGCGTTCAGATGTCCCAAGGGGAAGAAGACTTCGGGCTACAATTAGGGTTTTAACGTTTAATTCAATCTTACGTTTACTATTTATATAATTATTTAATATAATAACTATTAAATTTGAAAAAATATATATTATTATGATATATTGCTTTATTGTTTTTTTGGAATTTTAAATTAAAATTATGATATTTAATCGGAAATTTATGCGATTTGTTACTAATTTTACAATTTTTAATAATTGTAGGTATTAATAAATTATATTTTTAGTGTATGTTTAAAAGCCATCCAAGGCCATTTATTGTACCTGATGTTAAGCTTTCAGTGCTAAAATATTCAAGGTGCAATTACAACCATACTACCCAATTCTTATATATTTGTATATGTGATTAAATTTTATTACTTACATTTATCCTCTTGAATTTGAATCTATCTTGTGATCTCACATGAGAGATGGAGCATAGAATAGGAGAGAAAGAAAAGAATGGAGCATACGGTATAGAAATGGTTTTTTTTAATAATTGATTGATCAACCTCTTACTGTAGAAATGACCCAGGCAATGAGATATAAAATGTATAATTATATTTGTCTCAACTTTTATGGGGGCGTACAGTGTGTTCTAGGTATAAAATGAAAGAGTCTATGGCTCATCTGCGTTTTCACTTAGTTGGTTGAGATAGTTGTCCTTGAGTCGGTAAGGTTTGTTGGCTTTGTTATGCTAAGTTGGGCAGCCTGTCGGCTTTAGTTGTCTTTCAGTCGGCTTGGTCAGTCGACCGATTGCTTAGGTCCGACGATCAACTGTTGACCCTTAGATGATAAACTCCTATCATCGAGAAGAGACTAGAGTGCCTGAATGAGGGTGGATCGTCGTAATCTGACGAGTAGTCTACCCTCTGACAGGGAGATCCACCTGGAGTGTTTGTAAAGTATGTTATGATGAGACCCTTAGGACACTGGAATAGTATTGAAGGATATTGTAAGACGACTGGTGATGTCAGCATGAGAGTTGGGATGATACATTCTCTTGGCTCAATGTTCTTAATCTTTGAATTGGGTGGGCTTTGTTTGACTGGCTTTGGATCCTACTCTTAGAGCTGTAGTTAACCAATCAGCCTTTTTAGTCATCAGCATTTGTTCTTCTTTAAATGAGTCATTCTTGACCACACTTGTGTCTCGTAGTCCATTGAATTTCCTTGGGATTTTTATTAATGCATTCATGACATACATATTTAGTTCGTCAATTTTCTTGAATCATGTTGTGATAAGAATAATAATTCATTCTTGACCACACTTGTGCTCGTAGTCCATTGAATTTCCTTGGGATTTTTGTTAATGCATTCATGACATACATATTTAGTTCGCCAATTTTCTTGAATCATGTTGTGATAAGAATAATAAAATTTAATGTAAAAAAGCATACTCTTTTACTAAATTTAATGTAAAAAAACATACTCTTTTACTTCAATAATTGAACTCCCTCAAATTTTGTCTGTGGCCTTCTATAAATATGTCATATGGTCGGACTAAGATAGGTATTCGGTCGTTTGGCCTTAGGATGATTGGTCGGCTTTGGCCTCTCCACTTGGTTGGCTTCCTAAACATTAGCATTTGATCTTAACCATCATATTGTTTTGAGAACTATGCAAGCAAATATTATTAATAATATTATTATTATATTATGGTTCAACAAAAAAGTTAAATAATTCAACAAGAGGTCACCGCTACTCCCAAAAAACAACTCACACCAAAAAACCTAGGGGACCACCTCCTTAATTAAAGCTCACAACATAAAGATATTAAAAATACAAATGAGTAAATTGTGACTCACCAAAACATGTAAAAAATAGAGCACAAATTACCTAATCTTGCAGCGAATATATGAAAAATCCAGCTAGTCTCCACGAAGCAGCAATTGAAGAGGATGGGGGGGAGTAACATTAACCACAACATCTTCAAAAGATAGCCCATGTTTAGACAACCAACTCGTCGGTCAGTTACCCTCTTTAGGGCTCCAAATAACTTGTAAGCTTTGCACAATATTGATAATTTGTTCAAAGCAATGTAAAATGTTCAACGATGCAGGTTTGAGGCCCAAAAGAATGTGATTAAGATCAAGTGAATATAACTAAACGTGCACTAACTGCCAGTTCAACAAATAAGCAATTTTAATAGCAAACCAAACAGCTCAAACCTCAGCTTAAGCATTGGAAGCTCGACAAAGAGAATAGTAATAATACAAATAATTTCCAGCTGCATTTATGAATACACAACCCGCACGGGCCTCCCTAGTAGCTCAACTATCATTCTTGTTAATTTTCACCCAAGCTTTAATTGGTCTCCTCCAGAAAATATGTTGAATGCAATTTCTAATGGGTTTCACAGTTATCAATGCTTGTGAATTAGTCAAGCAAGGAATATCATAAACAAAGGAGGTTGAAACATTCCCAAAAGTAATTATTACATCAATATAGGCGCAGATATTAGCCACCACTTTAACATCCTTCACCTTACCATCCTAATGTTTGATTGTATTCTTGGCCATCCAAATGAACCACAAAGTTATATAAGGAACGATTTGCACCATGTGATTAAAATGCTTCCTATGATTCCAGACATCCTTACATTGATTCCAATTCAACAAACCATCACTAGGAATAATAATATTAACTTTACCTCCCAATAATTTCTACATATGGAAACAATAATTGCAAGTAAAAATAAATGATCAAGGCTCTCCTCCTCATCCTTACACAAGGGGCACTTTGAGAATATCATAACTTGGGAATATATCAGACTGTTATCTTTAACATTTAACATCATTCTCAACACCTTAGATTCCCCTACATTCTGAATGATAGTAGAGTGCAAATCTTTAAAATATTTTTTGTGCATGTAATTAGCCCAAACTAGTTCTCTAACATAGAATTTGATCCAAAGTTTTATATAGTTAATTTCAACAATATGATGAAGTTACGTAAAGCCCAAACGACCAACAAAAACTAGTTTACATAACTTCTTCCAACTAACCCAGCACACACCTTTTTCTCGCCCGACCATAAAATTTTCTTAAAACATATTTTAAGAAGTTTTTGAGTACTAGATTTAATATTGAGAACCTACAAATCATATAGAGAATGGAGTTTAAAATGCTTTCAAGTAAAGTAATTCGACCACCAAAGGATAGGAATATGTTTGTTCCGTCATAAATTATCTTTTTAATATTCTCAACCACATCATCAAATTGATTTTGTTTCCTTCTACCCTTAAGAAGATTTATATTGAGATATTTATGAGGTAACTCAGCTAAGTTGAAGCCATTGAATTATTGCATCCACATTTTCAAAGAGCAATTAACTTGTTAACCCAAAAAAAAAGTTAACATTTGGCCTTATTAAACATCATACTCGAAGTGTCTTGAAAGTCCATCAACATCATGTAAGTTCTCCTCATCGCAATCTTACAAGTATTAGTAAATACGATCACATCATCAACATAAGCTAAATGACCCACATTGATATCGACTTTGTGTTTGTATAAAGTTTGAGGTTGGTTCAATTGCAATATATCAATCATTCTAAAGAAATAGTGAAAAGCAAGAATAAAAACAGTATGTCATAGTGGGTCATCTTGTTTAATGCACAGCTAGATGTGAAATACCTCTGAGTCTTACCATTAATAAGTATGTTATAAAAATTACCTTTAAGCCATTTGCCAATGATATTACAAAAATCGTCTCTGAAGCCTCTTGCATGCAACAACTTATTGTATATAAGATTTTTTCAAATTTAATTTGATGACCAAATTAGCACCTTTGCATTTTTTATCAATATCAGCAAGTAATTCCTAGGCCATTTGGATATTATCAATGATGATTATGCTTTGGACAAAAGTCGCTTGATTGGAAGTAATAAGATGGAGGTGTTGTTCTAATATAAACACGATATCCTTACTAATGATTTTAGACAACATAGATATAAGACAGATAGGTTTAAAGTCATCCCAATTGGATTTCTCCTGATTTTTAGTTACAAGAATAATAATAGATGTGGTGAAATAATTACTTGGATCCTCCCCTTTGAAAAAATTATGAATAACAACAATAATGTCATTTTTAACAATATTCCAGCATTTTTTTTATAGAAATCAATAGTGAAACCATCATGACCAATAATTTTAATGCTATCGGATCCTCCCCTTTGAAAAAAATTATGAATAACAACAATAATGTCATATTTAACAATATTCCAGCATTTTTTTATAGAAATCAATAGTGAAACCATCATGACCAATAATTTTAATGCTATTAATGGAATAGAAAGCTTTCAAAATTTCCCTCTAACCTAGGATCTTTGCTAAACTAGGATTCGTCGTGTAATGCCTTTAGGTCTTGAAAATATCATGTTTAATAGGATTTCTTGACACATCATTCTTACCGAAAATTTTCTCAAAATATCTAACCAAACTATTAATGATAGCAACTCGATCAATTAAACAATCACCATGCTCATCTTTGATAGCCAAAATTGAATTAATTCTTCTTTTATCCTTACTACACACATGAAAATACTTTGAATTCCTATCACCATCAATAA